ATTCGCACTGTCCTTTTGAATTGATTACACTGACATGAGTAATTATTTTGGTATTATATAGAGATATCCTGAAGATACCACATAAATAGGCAAAAATCATTATATGTTTGTGGTTCTGCAGGCTAGGCTGGGGTTAAGAAAATGGACGCATCCTAGTGACACAGCAAGAAAATGATCCACTTGAAATTTTACATTGGCTTTGTGGTATGAGGGTTTGCACCAGTGCTTTCCCAAGTGATTTGCAAAGTGAGATTCAGGATAGGGGAAATGTGACCACTTGGTTATGGTCAGAAAAACGGAGCCCATGAGCCGGTGTGTGCTAGAAAAGGGCCTGATGAAGCCAGCAGGACTCTCAGCTCCTTAACCAGTATTCGGAGTCTTAATGACACAACAGAGGAAGTGGTAATAGAGGTGCCCATAAAACTTCCAGGAGCCGTAGAAGCAGGAGCTAAGGACCAGGCTAGCACTAGACCAGGCCACGGTTTCCACTTGGCCCAGAGAAATCAGAGCAGTGAGAAGAACGAAGACACTGTGATAAGGCTTCCATGCACTCACTCAGTTTAAAGACATGGCCTTTGCTCTTAGATTACAGGCATGCCATGTTTTTGAAGTTAATTCCCTTTCCCTGACATATGGTGATGACAGATGATTTTTTTTGATGTCCTTGATAAAGATGTTACCACTCCATGTGAACTTCTCCAAATTTCTACTGTTATATTTTTATGTTTTGAGAAATCTGGAAGTTTAGGGACTATTGCATGATTATATCTAACCCTCATATGAATATCAAGCAGATATTACTATGATTATCATTTTTTAATTTAATTTTATTTTTTATGATTATCATTTTATAAAAGAGGGAAGTGAAGCTGGGTGTGATGGCACACAGGTGTAATCCTAGCACGCTAGGAGGCTGAGGCAGGAGGATCTCCAGTTTGAGTCCAGCCTGGGCAAGTTAGTATCTCTCTCAAAATTAAAAAAAAAAAAAAAAGCATTGGGGATGTAGCTCAGTGTGAAAGGTCTGGGTTCAATCCCCAGTAAAGGGAAAAAAATGTAAAAAGAGGAAATGGAGCTGCACAGAGGTGTATTTAATTTGTTCCAAGCACCCGCTAGCGGCATCAGAGCCGAAGCAGGAGCACATGTCCCGGCGTTCCTACTGCTCACTGTCCTGATTCCTGTCCGTATGGCTACGGGCTGGTGAGGGAAGCAAAATCCGATCTAGGTGTCTAAACAGCGAGGATTGAATGCAGGCGACGAAGACAGAGGCAGCAATGAGTGGGAGAGGCGGTGACCCAGGGATGAACAGTGTCAGGAGCCAACTATCCCTGGGCTGGAGGAACAGAGGAGGGCTGCTCCCTCTCATTTGGGAAGGATCCGGTCCCTCCGGAAGTGCGGGAGGGCAGGGACCACAGACAGCAGGGCTGCAGTTGCTGCTGAAGCTGCTACCGGAAGCCGGGGAGAAGGGCAGAGCCTGGCCTCCTACGTCGTCTTCTCCTCCGTGTCCTCTGCTTCCTGTTGGCCAGGCCGGCCCAGAGAGAGTGCAGGTGCTCTGGAGGGTAGTTCCGTGCGAGCCAGCGGATCCAGGAAACGCTGGGAAATAAGCAGGCGCGGGGAAACGACCTCAGCACATCCTAGCATCCCTCCGTAGTGAAAGACTCCCCGGGGCAGTAAAAGCACTCTGTAAAAAGAGTGGCGAGGTCTAGAGACACCAACCAGAAGGGAGTTTGCAGTATGAAGTCTATGAGAGTCTGTTTGGCAGTGGGAGAGGGACAGGAACGTCTCTACTTGCACTGACCTTTAAAAGGGAAAGAGGCAGAAGAAATAAGTAGAGATTTGCTGGTGGGTTGCATTATGTCTGTGTATCTTAGGTGACGTAAGGGCGGCTGCAGTCGAAGTTCCGGCCGGATCGTCAGAGGCGCGGGGACAGCCCCACCCTCCCCCTTCCAGAGGCCTGGGCCTGGGGGAAAGGCGCTGTGCTTCGGTAGGTAGGTTCCACCTGAGGGCCCAGACCCACAAGTGGCCACGCGAGATCCTCTAAGCCCCCCAACTTCTGTTTGGAGTGAGAGCCCCTTTCATCCACTGCCCGGGAGTGAAATAAGCAAAGTAGAGCTAGGACATGACAGGAAAGTTGCTCAATCTTTAACTCGCTCTTTTTTTTAGCTAAAAAGAGGAAGTTCTCTTCCAGGCCACATTTCCTACCTTCGTTGAAATCCAAGGTCAAATTTTACTTCTGATGTGCGTAGTTGTCTCAAATCCAATTTACATCTGTTTCTGTTTTTAGTGATCACTTTATTCTTTCCAAAGTCATCTCATCCCATCGCTTGGCAAAGGGAAGAATATTTAGAAACCAGACGCTGCACTAACTGTAGCCATTATCCTTTATTGGAGCCCAAAGAGATTTAATCTGTATCCATAAACAGGTGAGGAAGAAACCAGTTTTCAGCTCAGCTCCTGACTAAGGCTCTCTTGCTGCTAAGCGAGCAGAGGCTCCGCCATTCGGACCCGAGGAGTGTCGCAATTGTCCATTCCCAGTGGCCTCATTCTGTCACTCCCAAACCGTCCTATTTTTAATGAATATTTTATGTTATATTCTTTAATGTCATGTAAAATTCATAGGTAATATCAACATATTTACAAGTTCAACGAAAAACATGTTGCTTGAAATGTAATAAAAAGAAATAGAAGAACAGGAGCTTATGAAATGTGATAGAAAACTATGGTGAATGCATAAAATTAAAAAAAAAAGTCACAGGAAAAGACACATTGCCATGAATCTCCTTGAAAATACTCCCTCCTCACTTTGAACACACTCATCCCATTGTCCAGGCCACTTTCTGAATCGGCTCTGGAGTCCTCTTTCAGGAGTGTCTTTAGTTGCCTTATCATGGCTACCTCAATGTCCTGATCTGATTCACAACATTTACCTTGCATGGTCATTTTGACTTTGAGGAAGAGCCGGAAGTTACAGGGTGCCAGATGCAGAGAATGGGCAGTGAGGACACAGCGTGATGTTTTCGTGAGCCTGCTTTCCCGTTGGGTGGCATTTGGCAACAGTGTCCATCATTTTCTTGGTGACACCCCCTAAATACACCCAAAAAGGAGGACTTCCAGAGCTGTTTCGGAAAGCGACAAGAACAATGATACGTGTGTTCAAAGCAAGGAGTCTTTGGAGGGGATTAATGCCAATGTGGGCTGTAGTGTAATGAGTTTTAAACATTCACTGTGTATTTTGATCACTTCTTATATAATAAAATACAGTGGACCTCGAGTTATAGCCAGCCTCACATATGAACAACTTGGGTTATGACCAGAATTTTAGTTTTTTAACTTATGACCAAAGTCTTGGGTTATGACCCAAATGCCGGCCACTTGTTCTTCCAGATGGTCTCAGACACAGGTTTAACCCTTAAAGAGTTCTGGAAGAAGCATGACAGCATCCTCTCCTGTGTGGGGTTCACTGAGAAATCCTGGGCCAGTGTCTCTCTAAGGACACTGAGATCTGCCTGTGTACAGGAGAGAGACTTTAAAGGCTGTGTAGAGGAGCCCGAGCCTTCAGTGACCGACTTGAGTTACAACCAGCCCTCGGGAACAAATTGAGTTCGTAAGTCCAGGGTCCACTGTGACCTGCATTACTAGCTAGAATGCTCAAACATAGCTCTGCCAGAAGCATCCTGAAGTGGTCTGTGTTTACCACACTTTCGAGAGCTTTGACCGCAGGCTGACACACTTCTGTCATAATAGCTCCTGATCATAGGATTTCGTATGTAGTTGGTTGAGCCCGTGTAGGAGCCCCTGTGCCCCCAGTGGTTGCCAGTGAATACCCACCATCATTGTTATAGTAGCGGTGACAGTCATGAACACAGATCCGACAGGGAGGAAACTGTTATTTTCATGGAGGTGGTAATTTGACCTAGGTGACCTTGAAGAATATAGGATTTCCTCTAAGGATAGAGTTGTTCTTTTGTTTTAGGAAAAACAGCCTTTGAACAAATTCAATAATCAAAGCTGAGCCAGCCTTGTCCCCACTGTTACCCTGGGCAGAGCTGCAATAGAAGATTGGTCTGCTGAGAACACAGAATTTTCTTGAAAGTTCTAAGGGAGCGGGTAGAGGGCTGTGTAGGAGCTTTGAGGTTCTCAGCAGTCTGCAGAAAGAGTGGGAGGGATCACAGCAAGGTGAAGGGACTGCCACCAGAAACTCCTTGATGGATTTGTAGTAATAGTGATGTTTGACATGGGGGTGGGGGAGAACGCGTTATGGATCTCACAGTGGAAAATAGTAAAGGAAACTTCAGTCTTATTTCTTGAGAACCAAGTACAAAGTCCTGAATCTTTCTTCACATCTGAGCCAGTTTATGAATAGTTAATATGAGGTTTATAAAAAGGAAAATGGAATTCCATATTTCTAAAAGGGGAGGAATCACTAATCTTTACACCTTGCACTTTTACAAATGCTGCTGTGGGTTTGATATCTGTAGTACCTATTCAGTAGAAGAATTAGATTTATTGAAATAAAAAATGCTGGGTGATCACATTCTTATCAGCTCTCTCAGTATGGGAGTGTGTCACATGCCACTTGTGTGTTGTGTATCCTGTATGATAAGCAGAGAGTTTGGCAAGAAAATCTTTCCTCAGACACCTTGCATCAGAGATTTTTACTCACTCATAGAATTGGTGAGAGGGGTCAGTTTCTTAAACCTAATTTATCATCAGTGCATATGTTGTAAGACCCATACATCTCTTACTCGTAATACTTTGTACAAGTCCTTTGAAACATGTTTATTTTTAAATATAATTTGTAAATTCTTTAAGATAGCTCCGTTTTATCATATTGTTTGTTTCATTTTTCTGGGTAAGTTTTCATGTTTATTTGTTGTAATGACCTTAATTAATAAAAGTGCTATTGAATAGTAGACTTCTTTTTTTTTTAACAGTAGACTTCTTAAAGAATGACACTTTACACCAACATTATCCAAAAGAGTCAATTAATCAAACATGATTAATTTTAATGTAATTACTAAAGAAAGATATACCATTTTATTATGACACTCTAGCCATACATTTTCAAAATATGCTTATGAAACATTAAATGGAAGATAATGATTCAGTTAGTTACATTTCTCGAAGTCATTAGGGCTGATATTTCTGTCATAGATAAATTGAATAATAATTTCAAATATAATCAGAAATAATTTAGTAAAAATATGCTTTCAAACTCAAATGGATACAATGAATGACCAATCATTGTTTTCTGGTTTCAAAGTAGCAGGGAAAATTAATTCAGTGTCTGTAGGTTTATTTATCACACTTGGCCTATAAGTGTGATAAAAATACATGCAGCAAAATACATGATGTAATCCCAATTCTCATAGTTCATTAACTCTCTTAGCAAAAAAAGAGATCTGACATGGCATTTGGGGCTTTTATGTCGACCGAATATAAACTGCATGACATTTGAACATTTTTGATACCTTGAATAGACGTTTTAATGATACATAGACACAGAGAAGGGATGTGGAGTAAACAGCTTGAGGCTTCAGAGTTCCCTCCTGCAGTGCACTGTAGCAGCAGGTACAAGATAAACATCCAAACACAATTAGATTAAGAGATCAACAGATGTGGCTTCCCTATCATAGGTGAGCGGGGTTGGTGGGTGGTTTGGAAGGGATCTGAGAGCCCAATTTTCATTTTCCTACTTTATATCAGTGCATTTGGGGCGAAAGAAATGTATAATGATTGCTTTTAGGCCCAGCAATTCAACCAAAGGCAAAAACCTAAGGGTTGTGAAAGGTCACCCTGAAGGTGAGTCAGCCTGGAGATTTAAGTAAAACAAGCTATTTCCATCTTAGGTCATATTTCAGTGGGCAGCAAGAGTTAGACTTTTGTGTTCTCTTTTTCCCTTTGGGAAAATTCGTGTCCATGACAATTGAAGAATAAGGAGAGAAAAGGGCCATATTTAAGATCAGTGTAATCAGGAAACATGTGAAGTGTGTTTTTAAAGAGGTCCCTTTAATTCTGGCCTTTCAGCACCGGGCCATCTACACAATGCTGACACAGATTTTGAAAAGAATCGAGGGGAGTAAGGGTGGCTTCAAAACCCTCCCAGGCCTCTGCCTTATCTGTGAGTTTTCCTTTTAAAACGTGTGCGTGTGCGTATGCAGGGGGAATTATTCTATAAACAGAGTTTGTTACTTCAGTTGGTATCTTTATCCTGTACCATATGCATTTAAAGCTTCAATCTTTTTTGTCATTTTTTTCTTTTTAAATAGAAACCACACAAAAACAGTATCTATGTATCAATTTCTAATACCTAACAGGAAAATTTTATAGAATATCAAAATAGCTATAAGCAAATAGGTACTATAGGATGAAACACTAGCATTGAAAACAAAATATAAACAAACACAAGAATCTACACAATTTTTCTTTTGTTTTTGCCCCCTCTGACCTTGGACTTCCATGATCATCGAAGAGGAGGGGAATAGTGACTCGTATTCTTCTACTGTACTTTAAAGTGAATGATGCCAAAAGATAAATCAGATTTTTTTTTTGTTTTTTGAAAACACTGTTGGGAGAGCCCGTGGGATTAGAATGGAAATGTACTTTCATATGAGAAGAGCCAAATAGGTTCTACTCTAATAAATTAGGACAGTCTTTTAAGATTAAAAATAGCAAAACATTTTAAATAGTCTGATTCAGTAAGTCAAACATACATTCCTATCTAGCCTATAGTTTAAAAAGCCTATGTGGGTTTAACTTATCATCCCTTATTCCAATATGAAAAAAAGAAGAAAAAGAATAAGTCATTTTTGAACATTAAGATATTCATAAAGACTGTATAGAGTAAAAAAACCCACAAAAATCTTCACAGATTGTTAGCCATCTCTTTCAACAATTTCTCATAAATTCTTCTCTTTCATGATCAGTAGATAACCCCCTCTCATGAGGAAAACGCTCCATCCTTCCCCAGCGGGATCAGTGATTGCTTTCTGAGTGCTACTGCCCTTTGAGATGTTAGGGTTCAGGGAGGCTGTCAACACCAGAGCCTCCCCAAGGAGGACGAGGCAGGAGCTATTTTTAGGAGTAAGTGAATCGATGTATTTTTCTCATTTTAATTTTCTGTACTTGCTTGAATATCTGTTGTAGAGCAGAGCGCACACGCACACATACAAAATCAAGAAGCAACAAAATCTTCCTTTTTAGTTTTTGCCATTTGCCTTTAAGATCTTTTTCCCTTTTATTTAAACTCCATACTCTTCATCAAAGTCTTCAGACCGAATAACATATTGCTAATTTTGCTGAGTCTGAGAGCCAACACACCATGAAGGCTTTCACCTTTCCTAATTTTCCACCTTCTGTCCCTGTAACCCAATCTCGCCATTTGGTGAACAATTCTTAGAAGTGACAATAAGTTGAAAGGTGGTGGTGACCTAATGCTATTTTATCAAGCCGTCTAACTATAGAATTGTTTTCATACTTTAAAAAAATATGTCTATGCTTTCTTTTTTTTCTTTTTTTTTTTTTTAGTCAAGTACTTTCTTAAACAAACAATAGCACCACATTGGCATAGCTGGCCAAACAATAAATGGGAGAGCAAAATACACTACAACTTTCTTTCAAAGTCTCTGAAGTGCATAAGCCAGTAACAGAAACCCTGGAGCTTCAGAACAGGTGATGGATTCATCTACAGGACACCAACTTTCCAAGGAGGGGAGGGGAACCAGAGGAGGTCAGGCTTTTCTGGTTTTTTGTCTTCAATCAAACTTTCAAGGAAGGGGTTTCTCAGTATTTTGTTGGACTGTGTGTGTGTGTGTGTGGGGGGGGTAATAGAGTGGGTGGGCATTGGATTTTTCTTGCACCCTAAAAGCCTGGAATCTGACACAGAGCTGAATTAACTTTTTCAGTGGAACTGCTTCATCTAAACATGTTTAAATAATAATTTGTAGTATTTGGAGAAGAAGGACCAAAATTTAACCTAGGTATTGAGTAATGTCAGTTAAATTGGAAATAAACCTATTAGCTGAAAGTTCATTCTTACCAATATTGACAGTTCTTACATAAACATCTTCTGGTTGCCACATTTCTAGATGCTAAAGCAATATGGTTCCATAGGAAAGGTGATATAAGTTTGAGTTGTGAAACTGTAGGTATTCCCTTGCACCAATTAATTCCAGGTCATTCTGCTGCAGTACACAAGGATCAGTTGCCCCTCAGGGTTTACACTGATTTATCTTCTAGTGTTAATTCATTTGGAAGTAAAATGTTGGGCTAGTTGATTGACTGATTGAGAAAGGGTCCCACTAAGTTGCCATGTTGCCCAGGCTGGCCTTGAGCTCATGAGCTTCCTGAGTCAGCCTCCAGTATGCTGGGATTACAGGCTTATGCCACCATGCATAGCCAGTACGATTAATTTTTTATTAGTTGATTTATGATTCAACTGGAGAGGATTATGTGTTGGAAAAAGTTAAAAGATGACAAGGCATTGTATATTTAAGCTTTTCTCATTGAAAGTTTTTGACTGTTTGTAGAATTAAAGTAAGTCATAGACACTCTTAAAATTACCACATCCAGCCATGTCAGGAAACTCGTAAATCTGCAGAAGACTCCCTGTAAAGTGTTTTGGGAGTTGGCAATTTTAAAAGGTACTCTGAGAACAAGAAGTAAAAGTCCCAGGTGCCATCTCGGGAGAGGAGGCCAGCTGGTCATCTGCAGAGCCCACCCCGGAGGACCAGCAGAGGGGAGGGCAGCCTCAGTTTCTTCCCTACCTCCCCAGAGCGGTCAGAGCCTTGCTGAGCTCGCCAAGGGACACTGCCCCAAGGGCACTGGGGACAGAGGGGCCTGGGCTGGAGAAGGCACAGGGTAGGTGGGCTACACTGAACAGTGCCTTCTACTTACCACCGAGCTGGGGAAGCTTTGCTCTCTTCCTGGCCTCTGAACCGTGAGATAACCCAGGGGAAGACGGGCACAAATGATGTCGATACTGTTTTTCATATACACTTGCAACAATATAAAGCACACAGTTTGGGTGAGGTTATCGAACCTGCTGAGCTTTTCACCAAAAAGTCTAAGGGAGATGAAAGATCTGAATGCTGAATAATTCATTATTCTATAAAGAAATTTTAATCCACAGACCAGAAGCAATTTTTAGGCTCCCACAGATGGCCTGGTCCTCACTTGGAGGTTTTTGGGTGCCAATGGTATGTCTAAGACCCAGCAGCAGAGAGCTGGGCAAACAGGAGGGGAAATTTCAAGGTTGAGAACAAAATTTTTGCCTCTCAACTAGCAACTCTAGTTAGCATATTTTAACAAAATTTTTTAAAAAGTATGTATATACAACTAAGGATAAGAATACAATGAAGGAAAGTTCATTTGTGACTTTTTTATTAGATATTATTTCAATATTTAAAATCCTGGGCCATTTTTCTTATTTTGTCTAAAGAGAAGGAAAATGTATTTTTCAAAATGAATAGAGTGTACTTTATAATATTAAAAGAGGTGTTACTAGACTGATTATAACTGTGCAGAAGAATCAGTGAGAGCTAACAGACTAATCAATTTCCCTTTCACTGGTGGAAATCTTTTTGTTTCTCTACTTTTTAACTTTTCCTTTCTTTATATTCACTTAGCTTTCTATTCATAGGTTCAAAGGTAGAATTCAAAACCAAATATTAAATCCAATGTTTCTAACATTTTGGAAAGTGTTTGAAAGAGATCGTGGTGTTAGCTTTTAAAACCTAGTTGGTTGGTTGGACGGGCACTGGGCTATGGCAGTCCTAAGTTAGTGAGTCTCTAGCCATGTGGGGAAGGGGTTGTTGGTAGAATTCCTTGCATCACAGCAATCCAGAGGCTCTGATGTTGCACCCTCATGGAAAGCGGGATAAAGATCTGAAGTGTTATCTTGATAATCCTCATACCACCCATTTGAGGTAGGTAGATGACGTATTGCCCCGATTTTTCAGATGAGGAAACAGGCACAGAGAGGTGAAGGGACTTGCCCGAGGTCCCACAGCGGTGAGTCCATGGCAGAGCTATAGTTATTTGTTTCTTCAGTGAGCAAAAGAAACCAGGTCTTAAAATTCCTGGCCTTGTACTCTTTGCATTCCACAGTTTCCTGTGGCTCAGGGGTTCAATCTGCCAGTGGACTCCCCCATCTGAAGCCCCTTGCAAAGATACCTGAGGAGTCTGCACTCTTCCCCAAGAGATAGAATTCTCCCCTCCTCTTCCCTCTGCGCCGTCTTTGGCTCCAGGTTTTCCCTTGTGCTTTGCTTTCACCTTTTACCGTTTTGACCAGATCTTTCATATAACAAACTACAAAATAGCACCATTGTACTAAAAAAAAAAAACAGAGTTTTACATACGGTTTGATATTGTGTATTATTGATATGCTAAATTTACATAGTGCTCTATATGGAAAAAATAAAATGAGAAGGACAATCAGGTTGCACACTAACTCATCCTTTGCAGGAACCACTGAGAGTTTAATAGACTTTCTACATTTGGAACATACATCTAAAAATGACTGGCCTCAAAGTTGTAACTATTTTGCCTGAATTTTTTTTTTTTGTGGCATGATGTGGGAAAATGAAAGCTTTGTGTCTAAAATAAATGCATCAACCTATATTTGGTACAAATGCCACACATAGTCACATGGATTAAAAATTGGTGGGTGACTTGCCTGCCAGGTACAGGTTTTGAGGAGGCCAAATTTGCCAATTGTAAATGTTATGAAGGGGCTGTGGAGCTAGGCGATTATTAGACACAGTAAGACCAACCGTTTGTGTGATGCACAAAGAAGTGCAAATGAGAAAACAATTCATAAACCACCTAGACGGATTGCTGAACTGGTTCCAGCAGCCAAGATTGAGAGAGGAATTTAGTGCAGCTGGATCTATGTGACACCATGCATTGGGGCTCTTGAGAGGCAGGGACTAAGATCAATACTTTTTTCTCTATCGATCATTACTGATAAAGAATAACAAGCAATCTACCAACTCCAGGACCGTTTTTTGCAAGTGCAAAGTTTTTGACAATCACTCCTAAAGACAATGTTGGAATGTTTACTTGTATATTTCACTGGGGAAATGCCCATCTTTGAAACATTATAAAACTTATTTTTTGGGAGGCGTCCCAATGTTTAACAGGTGACTCGCTCAGAGCAAGGGATGCTGCGGTGACATGTCATTCTTCACGCCCCAGCAGGGTCTTCCTACATCCTGTAGTTCCTGTTTCCTGCACTCCCCCTACTCGCATTCTTCAAATGTACTTCCTATAAATCAGAGGGGAAAAAGACATTAACTGGATGAGGTTTTATTGCTCTATAAAGTATTAGGCTTTCAAAAATAGTCCAATGTATGGGTTATAGTGTAATAGATAATTCAACACATGTGTACAACATCTAATGATCAAAACAGGGTAATTAGCATTTCCATATCCTTAAAAACTTACCATTTCTTAATGCCTAGAACCTTCAAACTGCTCTTCATAAAATATGTAATAAATCGTTGGAAACTGTAGTCCTGCTGCTGTGCTGTAGAAGACTAGTACTTATTCCTCCTGGCTGGCTGCAATCATTAGTTTATAACATTGAGTCTCAGACTTTTAGCAATCAAGCTAAAAGAGGGCTTTAAGACATGCATAGGTGGATAGGCCTTTAGTTAACACTTCAGACCACTCTCACACGGGCAATTTCTCTATGCTGCGGTGGCATGGATACTACAGATTTATCATCATACAAATAGAGGTTCCAGCCATCTGTCTCATTCATACTCAGCAGACTCATTCACAGGAAAGGGGACACTGAAAATTCCTGCCTTTTGGCATGTAGCCATTTTTCCTAGTGAGAAAACAAAAATCAATCAGATTGTGAGATCATTCTCTAGTTTTTCCTTTCTCTTTCTTTGACAGGATCTTCCTGTGCAGTCTAGGCTGGGCTCAAACTCACGATCCTCCTGCCTCAGCCTCCAGAGTGCTGAGCTTACAGGCATGCACCACTCTGCCCAGCTTATCCTCTTTTGTTTTACCGCAGTTTGTTCTGTCTTAATTCTTGTAAAAGGGAACTATTTCTTTTTCTCTCTGTCTTTTTTCTGCCCTCTAGAGAGAGGCACCCTTTTAAGAGTAGAAGACTGGAAGTTTCATAATTGAGTTAGAGTCTGTAAAATCAGACATCCAGGGCTGACTCTTTTGTTTTCTAGCCATGTGAACTTGTGCAAGTATTGGTCTCTTGGGTCTCAGTTTCTTTCTTCATAAAATAGACTAATAATAGTACCTACCTGACTGGATTACAAATTCAGCAATTAGTGTACATGAAAGTGTTGTTAGCATTGTTATTTACTCGGTTCTTGTTATTACTATGTCCTCTTTATTGGAAAGTAATCATTCCAAAACCAAAGAGTCCTGAGCTTTTTTCTCTTCAAGGAGCAAGGCTATTATCTAGGGAATGTTGAGTTTTGTTTAGAATGGAAGGCCTAGAGGGCAGGACTTGTGTTTCTGTTCAGTGTTCCAGCTCCAATATCGAGAAGCGAGAACCTAGAACTGAGCCGAGACCTTGCAGGTGTCAGTAAACACAAGGAGCTGAGTTACAGGGAGCAGTGTGTGATCCTGAAGAAGCCCCTTGGGATATGCAGAATGGAGTCCTATAGTTACTGCTTTAGCTTTGAATATATTTAAATAGCAAAGAAAAGCAAGGAGAGTTGAAATAACATTGAGGAGAAAGTGGCATTGACATTCACCCTCTTAAGATACTTCTTTACTGGGTTTTACCTCTAGCCAGGGGGCCTCTGATAGGAGGCTGTAATGGACTGTTATTGGTCTGAGGAACCACAGGCTTCCTTGTCCCTAGGACATGCTTCCTTCAAGACCCAACCAGCATTTCCACCATGGTGGCTGTGACCTCTGGGCTCTTCCTCTGGCTTAAATAATCACCACCCACTCAGTCACACCCCCAGTGGGCACTAAGGGACTTAGAGATGCTCAGACCCAATACTCAAAGAGGGTGAGAGGTTGGAACACCAAATTTGGGAAAGACTCAGCTGCCATTCCTGGGAAATGACACCCATTGACCAAGACTCCCAGGGACTTGGGAATGTTTCTTACACAGGTTGTTCAGCTCTACTTGGAGTAGTAGAGTTTTGTCCCCAAGTCCTTCATAAAGAGTATCTAGCACTCTGTGGGCTGATGGTCAGTATCCTGGACTGACTGAATAAAAAGAAGATGGCATCCTGCAAAATCACAAACCATCCAGCTCAGTGGCCAGTGTAGAAGCAGCTGGTGGGAAGATTCTAGGCATCTGAATGGAATAACCCCAAACGTCATTGGCTTAAAATCCTGGGTGCCCCCTCAAATAGTGTACAATTTTTATCAAGTCTATTTAACATGCATTTATTGCTTTGTCAAACATCTACTATTAAGCTACTAGTATAAGTGTGTCCCTAATCTTACATTTTATTCTGCTTTCTTAGAGTGGTTTTCTAGAAAAAGGAAAGAAAATCACAGGATAGGATCACTAATGTGCCCAGACTTCTAAGACATTTCCATGTGGCCCACCGACATATGCTCATCAAAGCCCACAATTGCCATGGTTAAGAATAGACTTTCAGCCAAACTACTAGCTGGATTAACTCACAGGTACAGAATTTCACTAATTTGAGTTTTACTCTTTTTTTTTTTTTTTTAAAATTTAAGATGTATACCAACTTAGAAAAAAGATTTTTTAAGAATCTGAAACCTTGAAACTAAGAAAACACTCAAGAATGAAATAGTAGCAACAAAGAGAAAGCCTCACGAGACATTTAACCTTGTTTTCCTCCAAAGTTGATTAATCACAAATTTGTAAAAGAAAACACTTAGGTGTGTCCTGCATTCTGCTCTTCAGACTCGTGAGACAGGCAGCAAAAGAACTGAAGTTCCATCGCCCAGCCTTACAGATCTTGTCTTCTGCTCCCGACAGAGAGATTCTTTTTCTTTCTCTCAAAACAGAAAGCAGAAAGCCTGAGCAGAGGGATCCTCTGGTCTTTTTCTTCTGAATCTCTCTCAGCTGAAACACCCATTGCTTCTCCAAGTAGCATGGTTCCCATGCGTGCACCACCCCCCCCCCCGCACACTTCTGCGCATGCGTGTGTACAGTGGCGGCCTTTCAGAAGCAGCTGGGAGGTTATCTGGCTTGGACTCGGCTCTTTTCCTGGGCTTTCACACGTGACTTCTTTGTTGCACACAATGACGTGACAAAACAAAAGCACCAGGGAATTGGTCTCAGTTGCATCTGCTGCTCTGCTCATTGTCTTAATTTAATTACGTGGGCACCCTTGGCCAGAGGTGGTGATGGAGTTAGAAGCACCCGTCCCCGGAGCTGGCACTCACCTTCCGTGCTCTCCTTGAAGGGTTATGAAACTGTCCCACATTCGGCCAAGCAGAAACTTTCACTCCAGCAGCTTGTCCAAGACAAACAAGCCAGCTGAAACTGTTTCTAGTTTGCAACTAGACAGGTTTTTGAAAGGAAAACAGTAGTGAGTAAATACTGTTTCCTATTGACACTAGGGAAGGTAGGAGTGTTTTTAAAAAGTTGGTCTTTCAGCTCATTGGATTTGGTTGAAGAAATCCATCCGCCTCAAGAAAGGGTTAACTAACTCATTAGCGAACAAGCAGGGGACACGTGACACACGCTATCTACTCCCAGAACAGCCTTTCCTTTCCCTCCGTGATCTCTTGGTTCTTCTCCTAGCTCCAAACTTTCCTCCGGAAAGTTACCCAGAAAGTTACCCAGTTTCAGTGCAGAAGGTCAGTGGAGGCTAATGACAACGCAAACAGTAATAGCCTCTCTCGACAATCGCAGAAGCCTTGCAGTTTCCCGAATAGTTTTACTGAATCCTCATAATCACTTGGCGAGATGATGTTATTTACATCAGTCCCATGTTCCCATCCCTTGAGCATTTATTTTATGCTGGGGATTATATTGTGCATGTTCACTGTGTATATTTTCTGATTTAATTCTCATGGTTTTCTTAGGGATGTGTAGCAGCATCCTATTTGATATGTAAGCTAGCTTTAGCATCTTGGTCTTTGACCTGGGAAGTTTTTAAGGGTAAAGAACTCACCTAATATCTGACAGTGAAGATGGAACATAGGTTGGGATTTGTACTCTTTCTTTCTGATTCTGTAGCTCATCAACTGACCACCCTGCTATGCTATTCCTCAAGAGGTAAAACAATATTTGGTGTCTCAAAGTTTAAGCCTCTTTCTAGTAGAAATAATTGATAATGTCATGAGCTACCCGTGACCCCAGCTGGTGGTAGATGTGAGCTTTTAGAGGAAGGCAGTGTCCTGGGGGGGACAAGATTCTAATCCAGGAGAGTGGGGCCCCTCCCTTTCCATTAGTGTGAGTTGAGCCCCATTTATATCATTATTATAGAGGTCTAATATTCGGTTAGCAAAAGCTAACCCCACCCCTGGCCCCTAGGTGTCATAGCCACTTCTTTTCCCCCTGCCCATCTTTGTGAGATTGAGCCTAAAAGATAGAATCTAAAAGGAGGATGATAATAGGCTCTTTAAATTTCAGGGAGGAAGCAGTGATATTTTCAAGCAAGTATGTTTCCATCTCCACCCACTCCAAACAAGTTAAGTATTGTATGGCATAAAGTCTAAAAACACCCTGGCATCCTACAAAAAATACTGGGAAAATACTGTCCAGCAGGCAATACTGGTAGTCTGTTGCAGAGCACAGAGTCCTAACTGGGCTCTGACCTTCTGGAAAGGGGAAAATGGGGGAGAGCCGGGGAGGACTGACAGCTGGTCCAGATGTTAACTCTCCGATAGTCGACAAGGAGGTGATGTAGCTCTTCTGCCGAGTTGGCCGGGGACACAGTGGAATTGTCCTGGGTAATTTGGACAACTCAGGATCCATTTTTGATACCTTTTTACTTCAGGGAATCTCAAGTTCACATTCCAGGAGTTAGGTCAGCTTTTCAGCTTTGGAGCCAGGCTGAATGAGGGCCATGCCATCTACTTGGTGCTTTGGGATATGATTTTAACACCAAAGGACAAGGTGACCTGTGCCCGAGGGTCACTGTGGTGGCGGCGGCCAGGCTGTCTTTAAAGGAAACAGTGGGAGGTCCGTAGCTGATCTGCCCAGCCTTATGTTGTTTCCTGAGACAGTCGAAGCCTGTCTTTTGGGTGGTTAGGGTGGGAATGGCTTTTCCTCCAGTGACTTTTTTCTTTGGCCCTGGTAGACTGGCTGGTGCTCTAAGCAATGACTGTGTGTGGCAGGACAGCTCT